TAGTTCTGTTTTTGACTTTTATTAATTGCTCTAAAATGGACCATCTCTCCCATTTCAAACTTCACTTAATTGAAGAATTGGGAGTAGAGTAAAAAAGTGTAGTAAAAAACCCGAAAATTAAATTTATTCTCACAAACCTCTTTGAAATACCCAAATGAATTTATATCTACAAAATACCTTTGTTAAATGTTTCACCAGTTTTAAAGTGTAACTCAAATCATATTTAAAAAAATTAAATTATCTTCCTTGCTGTGTCTTCACTACCAAGGTGGTCATGGAAGAGCTTTTAAGAAAATTAGAAAGGCTCTCTGAATCTTGTAAAGATTTCACATTGTCCAGTACCCAACTCACCCAGAAAGGGTTGCCGTAAGTCAACTTTTGAATTTACAAAAGCTTAAAGAGGTAGGGGCAATTTTGACACTAAACCTCACAAGCAAAAGTCTATGCTCTTCTAAATAAGAGCAAGTTAAGTGGTGAAGTAATATAAATATATTATAATAAAGTTTCTGTATTTTATACAATTGTAAGAGTATTAATTCAAGTTTAATACAATTTAAGTGAATTTAAAATGTAGTAAACCTGTATACATTAATAATCATCTATCTCAATATAATATGCTAAGAACAGATGACCGTTTTTGAAAATTTATCATAGAACATTGACACAAACCCTATAAGTGTACTATTGCTGGATAGGGAATAATCCTCCAGCCCTGCATCCAACTGTATACAACAGATTAAAGACTGAAAAATTGAAATTTGCAGATTATGTCATAAGAAACAAATTATTGCAGCACATAAAACTCAGAATGAGTTCTAAGGCCTAAAAACCAGGTTTTTGTGCCTCAAAAAGAATTGTGGAGTCAGGCAAGTTTTCACAAACATGTGAAAAAATTATGAGAGACAGTTGGTGGTATATTTGGGAAACAAAGTTTCAAAATAAGTTTCTTAAGCGTCACTCTATAAAATGAGATCTTTTTGAACTTTCTATTACATTTTGGAGATTTAGTTCTTTCAGGAGCTCCCAATCCAAAGCAACGGTGGTCAGAAAAGTGCAGAAACCCAAAATCAGTGTAAAATTAAATTGTTGGAAAAAAACAGAATCTTACAAGAGAAAATATTAAAGGAACTGTTTGACTTTCTTTGTAATTTAATATCAACGCTTAACAATATTAGAATGGCTAATGCTGTTCAGTTCACAGGCTTGTAGTCCAAAGTTGGGTTCTTCTATGAAGCAATCTTCACTTTTAAAACAATTATTTACAAAGTGCATAGTTTTTGCATAGGTCCAGTATGTAATATGATGACAATGATGAAAATGATGATGGTGATGATGATAGTGGTGAACAGAAATGGAAAGCATTAAAAAGATCTTAGAGTTGCAAGAAGAACGAAGCTAGTTAAAGAAGGATCAATGAGCGAGTGAATCAGTCTATTGGAGAAACATAATGGTCAAAAGACATTAATTATAAAATAAAGTTAACAAAACTGATGAAACAATTACAAGGTATTTTAAAAAAGACATGAACGCAGGCACCAAGCTGAAATACATCTCTTTATATGACATAAGTGAAAACGGTTTTTGAAAGTATGAAAAAAAACAACTGATAGTTCAACTTCTGTTTAAGAAACACTACACCTGGAACCTTTCGATACAACAAACATTTGCTCACTTTTTTGCTTAGAATTCCTTTCTAAAATTGACCTTTTCAAATAAAAACCTTAATTACCTCCTATTCAAAGACGTTTCACTGAATAAATATCATATACTGTCATGGATGCAATGCGTACAAGGGCTTAAAAGAATCCCAAACCATCCAGTCTGAAATCAAGCTCATTTCAAACTAGTCAGGAGTCTGCAACACTCAGACAGAATCACAAACTATTATATTCCACAGACACCACCTGTACACATGGAATTGTGTGATATAGTTTTCATCTTCTTCTGTATCCTGAGTCAGTTTCAGAAATTATTTTGGTGTCTGCTTAGGGTGGGATGAACAGATTTTAGTTTGAATCCCCCTCACTACATATTTATTGAAATAATAATGATATAACTATCACTAGAAGCAGTGAGCATAAAGGGAAAGCCTTACAGCTCGAGCATACCAGTGACTGGAAGGTTGCTGTTTCGATTCCAGCACAATTTACTTGCGTGTTTCACATAGGTGAATCTGTGGCACCTGCTAGAATTGAATGCATAAGTTGGTCAGTGGTTTTCAAAGTTTACCTGATCACTTCCAGGCAAATACCAGAGCACAACTCTAGTATATGAGCCAAGGATTGCACATAATCTGTTATTCCCTATCCACCTTTGTTCCCATCTTTCAAACCAAGCTATGAGCCAATTACTCATTGTTATATGGACCATCTCAGTGCTTCAGACAATCTCTGACAAGAATAAGAAATTCAAAAAGCAAATATCAAGCAGCGAGTCCCCCGAGGCACTAAATGTCTGGTAAACATATATCTAGTTAACATTTGTAACAATGTTCTCAAACTAAAATGAATAGACATATATTCCTTTATTAAAACAGATTAAAACATCAACACTATTAAATGTTATGACGTTTTGCCTTTACAAACATTGTGATCTTCAGGAAATGTGAAAGCTAACCTACAATCGAAGTTAAAACATATGTGTACGTCAAGTATAAAAACTTGAAAGAGTATAGTAATGACAAAAATATACAGTACAGTGAAACTACAATTATACATTTCACACTTATGTTGGTCACGTTGAGACTTTTTTTGACAAGTCCCGTATAAATTCCTATAATTCCCATGCTAATTTATTTTATATATGCGTTTTACCTTTCTCAAACTTATACATTCATAATAAAAACCCTTTAAGAGCGTATAACGTTCAAATTGTTCCACAGAAACCACGCAGGGTGCCCGGAATTTTACTTGAGTCGGCATGCGCCAGAGCGTTCTCGCAGGGTGACCTTTCGGCCTCTGATGCGACTTCCCATTAATGAAACTTGTAATGTGGAAACTCAACTCTGCGTTGCTATGGAGCGAAGACCATACGAACCCACCGGGGTTATAGTGCAAAGTCGGCTCCCGGGCCAGCTAGGCAGCCGGACTTCGCAAATTTTCAGAGTTGCTGTGGGAAGGAAACTGGAGACTGGATAAATTTAATTTACAAGAAACCTGTATTTTTGATATTATTAAAAATCTTAATCTCACAATGAAATTTAAATATAACATTTTAAATAAAAACATAATATATAAATTTATAGCTAATTTTAAGACTTCAGAGATAAATTTATAGAGATTTGACGACTAATTCCTAATGTTGGAATATGTTTTGTGAACTGCTGTAACCTAATAGGTGTCACAGAAGATATCAGACATTTTTCATTAGTAATTGTTTTAAACTGCATACTTAATTCTTCTTTTTAGGTCAATATCTTTTCTAATAAAATTGTAGTGTAAAACTATTGAGTGTCTATTTTGCTTTTAATATTCAATTTCAGTTAGGCGTTTTTCTCGCATACATTTTTTCCCTTCCGTCCCCTGAAAAACGTACAAGCAAAGTTTTACTAGATATTGGAGGTAACATGAATATACCAAAAGATATAAGATTACACAATGTAGGAGAGGTATCAGAGGTGTAAGACATTACATGGAATGAGGTATATTTTACGTTACTTTTGTTGGCACACCCTTGTATCTATGATCATGTACCTCATTCCACAGGTCTCACACCTCAGACATCCCTCTATGACCCGACTGACCTCTAACAAGGTAAGTATTTTTGTCATTTCTATACTCATTTTGTTTTTACAATGGGTATACACTAGGGTGGCCTCTATTTTTCAATTTTTCAAAAGTTGGGCTTGCCCTTCACTATTTTGTTCCAATAAACATAAAAACAATCCAAGCAAAATTTGAGGTCAATTGGACAACTCTAAGACAACCCCAATTTCATCATGAAGTTTTGAATGTTTTAAAAGTTTTGAATGGTTGCTGATGAACATAATAAATAATTAACTGCTATTAAATCCTTTCTTAAGAAAAAACAATCTTCAATGTTTGTCCATTCCAATAGCATTTTGAATCTACAGAAATGACTATATTCTCTGTTTTCTCCTACAGATGAGTGCACTATTCAGAAGTCTAATATTTCTTTAATTTTTCGTGCTATTTCAGAAATTATTATTAAATGAACTCTTGAGTAATTTGATTTAGAATGTTTTTAAACAAATGCTGGGATTTCCTGAATGAGTCACAAAAATCGAGAAAAGAAAGAAAACAGTATCAGTCTCAACTAATTTCTAATGGAATTTAGTTGCCTAGAAATTTGGACTGAAATTTTGCACAGATTAATTTATTGTCAAATGAAATCAGAGTCAGGGGTGGGAGCATAAAAAAATTAACTTTCAGAAAATTACCCTATAGCTAAGGGCCTCCCTAATGTACACTTATGTTTTAATTTCAATTGTAGGCTATCTTTCACATTTTCCAAGGAGGATTCATCATCTTTGTGAGGTTGAAATGGTGTCAGATTTAATATGCTCTCAATGTTCTAATCATTTCTAATGAAGTAATAAATGACTGAATTCAAATCGGCTGGTTATTTTCAGTAAGATACTACAGGCGTTATGGTACAAAATACAAAACAAAACTGAAAACAAATAAATAATAACGATAAAAAAATTGTTAGCTTCAAATAAAGAAATGTAAAGCTGCTAAATAATGTTATTAATAAACGCCTATGCAACTGTTTAAATACTTAAACTGACAACTTTGTGCATGTTGTACCACCTCTAGATAGTTTCTAAAAACAAGTTCATTTTCTGTAGTACTCTCTTCAATTTTAAACTAAACCCATTGCTATTCCTCACCCATAGAAACAGTTTTAGTTCCACAAGTAAAAACAGTATACACTAATGTTTTTATACATTAGTTTTACAGCTTTACAGTTTTTATACATTACAGTTCTTGTGGCATTTCTGAAGTTACAAATGCCAACAACTGTAGGTGCAAACACACCGGCCAAATACATGTCGTTAAAGTGGGAACAGGGTCTAGGAATGCCCTTATCGAGCATCATCATAGCAACCACAGAATTAATTAGTAAGAGGCAATCACGATCTTTCATTAATACGAGCGCAGTTCATCTACGTGGAGCGGCTGAGGCAGGATAACCACTTCACCGCAAGGCCTCGTGCAGAGGCAATGTGAAGCCGTGGGGGCCGTGGTGGGAGTTGAGATTCAGCGGGTTGTGAGGGTTGTGTGGTGTGCTCAGATCATGGGGGTCGCGGGCGTGCGGCACGTGCGCGTCGTGGCTGTGAGGGTGGGGCGTGCTGAGGTCGTGCGGGTCGCGCGTCGGGTGCGGGGATCCTAGTCGTGGGAGGCCGTGCTAGTCCGTGCGAGGCGTTATGGGAGTGGCCGGCGAGGTGAGGGGAGGCGTGGGTGCGCGTGGGCACGTGCTGCACCGTTGGGCGGGCGCGTGCGGGCTGAGGGCAAGGCGCGCACGGCGGCGCGGCGGCCGCGGCGTGCGACCCGAGCGGCGGGGGCGCGCGTAGGGACGGGTGCGGCGGGTGGAGGCGACGTGTGGCGTTGTGCACGGGCCGCGTGGGCGGCGGCGCCGCCGCACGCGCCCGCGTGGGCGGCCACCACGGCGGGCGTTGGCGCTGCCGCGTGACGGTGGGCCTGTGGCGCGCTCGTTGACGGCGCCGCGTTGACGGCGCGGCCCGTTGGCGGACAGCGGCTGGCCGCGCCGTTGCGGCGGCGTTTCGCGTGGCTGTTGGAGTGGCGCTCGCGGGGCCGTTGGTCGGGCGCCGGGGGCTTCCGCGGCCCGCCGTGCATGTCGCGGCGATGGTTGTGCAGCGAGCCCGGCTGGCGGAAGGCCTTGCCGCACAGCTCGCACACGAAGGGCTTCTCGCCCGTGTGGATGCGCACGTGGTTGGTGAGGATGAAGTGCTGCGCGAACGCCTTGCCGCACGTGGTGCACTTGTAGGGCTTCTCGCCCGTGTGCGCGCGCGTGTGGCGCTTCAGGTGCGAGCTGTCGTTGAACACCTTGCCGCACACGTCGCACATGACGCCCTCGCCGCGGTGCGCGCGGTGGTGCGTGGACAGGCTGCTGCGCTGGCGGTACGCCTTGCCGCAGATGCCGCACTTGAAGGAGCGCTCGGTGGAGTGCACGTTCATGTGGCGGATGAGCGCCAGCCGCTTGCCGAACTCCTTGTTGCACGTGTCGCACTTGTACACCTCCTCGTGCTGGCGGCTGTGCGACGCCAGGCTGCCGGGCTGCTTGTACACCTTGCCGCACACCGTGCACGGGTACATCTTGGCCTCACGCGTCGTGTGCACGCGCAGGTGGCGGATGAGGTGCGAGCGGTGGTTGAAGGGCTTGTTGCACGCGTCGCAGCGGTACACGTCGCCGCGGTGCGAGCGCTTGTGCGTCGACAGGCTGCTCTGCTGCCGGTACGTCTTGCCGCACTCCAGGCACTGGTAGGGCCGGTTGCCCGGCAGCAGGCGCGCGCGCCGGTCTGCGAACACGCGGTCAGCGCCTGTCACAACACGCTTCCGAATCGGCGGCAATTGAAATACCACGCCTGTAAGCAATACTTCTTCCCGAGGATGTTTCAAGATTAATAAATTCTGACATTAATCAAATCCAAAACGATACCCCGAAATTATATCTGTAGAAACTTGAAGCAGGGACATCTTGAAAAGGGCATTTAACACAGCAAGCAATTCAGAACAATGAGGTTTTCCTCTTTCTGCTAAAACCTCTCTGCAACCTTAGTGAAAATAGTTCAATTTCATCTTCCTCTAATGTGAATAAAAATGTATCTTAGCTCTAACTCCTCAGTAAAACATTACACTCCAGGTAGTAATTTTTTTAGTAGACGCTATTAGCATTAGAAACAAGACTGAGATATTGGTGAATGAATGAAATTTGCGAAAAAAGAATGTCAAATAGTAAGTACCATAATAATAGTAAACAACAAAATGTCCCCGAACTAAGATTTCAGCTATCTGCCAAACCAGCAATCGCAATAATGAAGTACCAACCCAATGGAGGCAGAAACTCGAGCAAAGCACCAATCCAATAAAACAGTATTCTCACTAAGCCTACCAGTTCCATAGTCATACATAGCAGTGTTTCATTAATCTGTATTTTTGATCAAGCTACACTTTTAACTTACCAGGGAAGCTACTTAGTTCTTTCTTTATAGGAAGTGGAGCAGATTTTTCATCTTTCTCAGTTTTGGGAATCTTTTCTGTATCAATAACAGGTTTCACATCTTCAGAATCATCCATATCAGGAAGTGCATCAAAATGGTCATCACCATCGCTATCATCAGGAGCCGTCTTATCCACATCTTCAGATTTTCGTTGTAACAATATGGCAGACATCAATTCCATTTTCTGGGATCTCTCTAAATCACCCTCAGATGATGTACCAGGCTTCACAACAGAGAAGGCCAAGAGTCATTTGCAATAAATAAATAATAAAAAAAGAAAAATCAAAATGATATAGGAAATATTTTAAACTTCCTTTCTTCTAACTTTTATCTCTTCAGGAATTTCTGGAATACTTATTAGTACACTTTACTATCCAACAAAACAATCTATGCAAACCTAAATAAATGAATTTTTAAAATATGACTTTTTAAAGCAGCACCAGAAAAATTAACTCTACAATCAATAGAGGATAAAAAGCATTTGTAAGTGCAATTGCCTACAATCTGAAACTTAAACAATTTAAAATAAAGACTTTTTCTTTTTTCATATATTTGTGAACTACAATTTATTCTGTTTATAACAATGCCAGGTATAGCATCATGCTCAGTTTAACAATAGAAACTTTGTGAAAAGTTTAGTTTCTAACACTACCTGTTGTTAATTAGTTCACAAATAACTATGCTGCATATTGCAATATTCCTTATATACTGTGAAGAAAATGTGAAACATTACCATCAGGGGACAAATACTGCAAGAGAACCTAGATTTCAGTAAACTTATTAAGTATGCTAAACTTTGCTCTCATTAGTGGATCACACACTTTCAAAAAACATCCCAACTTTGTTTCTGGGAAGATCAATAGGGAAGTTTGGAGAGTTTGGGGTCAAGTCACGGAAAACTAAATACAAACCATCTGACTCGCGCTTTGTCAAAATGTCAAGAACAATACCATAAAGCTGAAGAAACAAACTTATTTTATGGTTTAATGCCATACAATAATCCTTAGATTTATAGGTAAGATGAGCCAAGGGGGAACTTCTCGAGAGATACGACATGTGGTGCATGTAGCCAGTAATATGACTGAATCTGCTAAACAAAAACTTCTTGTGATAGCAAAATCTAAAACACTGCTATGCTTCAAGAATGTCAAACTTGTTTGGTTAAAGAAACAATGAGAAAGTCTGGATGATGCATGATATTTTCATAACGTGGATTGGAAAATTTTGCTAACTGCGGAAATGCAACTGTCTGTTGCATCAAGCTGTACCAAATCTAAAAAATGCCATCCCCAACATATGACCTGTTAACTACAAATCATGGTCAAGGGAATAATTAGAAACCACAAAGCAAAATATCAGAAAAGGCTTGTGCGGCGCAACAGAATGGAAAAAAAAATTCCATGCTGGATGAGATCTGGAGCCACATGTTTGATGAATCCATTGCAAATGATTTCGGAAGATTGTTTTCAATAGAACAAATTCAGGGACTGTTAAGATTCCTGAACTTGAAGATTTGGAGACCATTGTTGTATGTGAATAACTTATCAATGGCATTCATATGGACAATGACATTACTAGCAACTTTGATATTCTATAAAATATTTGATTGCAGGCTTGTGACCCCCATGGTAGGGTTCTAAAGTTAAAATGATTCAGCATCTTCTGGACAAATACTTTTTTTAACAGTTCTATTAATCTTACAAATTAACAAATATGTTTTACAAGGAGATAGCCGAAAGAACAAAGAAAGGAAGGACGACATTGGAAACTTACAAACATTTTTATAACTAACAATTAATTATTAATCATTGTTCTCAAAATCAATAAAGAGGACTACTCACCTTACTTTCGGACACGGGAAAAATTGATGAACGACTTGCAGCAGCAGAGGCGGCACGAGTCCTTGTTACTTTTGTTGGGCGTATTGCTTTCATTGCTTTTGCTGCCTTCGCTGCTTTCGCGGTCACTGCAGCAGCCCTTCCGTTTTTAGGTGGTCTTCCTCTCTTTCGCTTTACTGGTGGTGCCAGTTGCTCTTGCTGCTGCTGTAGCTGCAGCTGCTTCTGTTTCTTCATTTGCTTCTTCTTGCGCTTCCCTCTCTCAGCAAGAGGCATGGAGTCTTCGATAAAGTCATCCTGAATTTCAACATCGTCTTGCATTTCATTATCAGGTCTCTTCTCTGTAGCAAATCCTTTTACTTGCAGGTACTCAGCTGTTGTACACAGAGACTGAATTTGATCCTTCGATATGATGACTTCACCATGGTACATATAATCTATCATAATCTTCAGTTGCTCGAACTTCACATCTTTCAAAATTACAACTGGATGTTTTTCAGTGTACTGGCTTAACAATAACTGAAAGGCAACACAACTTTTTGTTACTGTAACTCAATTTACACAGACAAGAATGAATATATTTAAATAACAGTAATTAGTTAACACCTTCATGTCAATCACACATTCAAAACACGTTAACCTTTGAGTGGGCATGCGTAGAATTTTCTCCCCAGCAGGCACTTGTAAATTTTCGTAAGTAAAAAAAGGCCTTGCACATACAATTTAAAAAATACTTGTGCCATTTTATGTATGAAAATTGCTGAGGATTATAAAACATATACATAGTAATACAAATGAAAATGAGAAAAACCAAAATCATAAATTATCTCAATAACTTCACTGCTGATCACACTTTTCACCAGTCACACTATTACTATCCAGTTTGTGATTCTTCTCATGATTGGACAAAAAATAAATATATGTCCTATAAAATTTGGCAAATTCATGTTACATCAATTCTTTCTCTTGTAATTTTACCCAAAATTTCTCTTAGCCAAATTATAACATTTTAGATCTTCAACAAGAAGGCGAGCTAAATTACAGAGGAGTTACTCTAAAAAGGGACATCTTTGACACGTCAGAAACAACACTAACCATGACATTGCAAAATATAGTGATGAAGCCATTTACAAATTAGCTATCTGTAAACAAAAGCACTGACAAAATGAATGCATGTACATAACATGCAGTTATGTTGCCAGCAGAGGTCAGGCACTGGTTGTCCACGCGGTCCCTCCTTATACAGTAGGAATCTCTCTACACCACCCCACACACCTAGCCAGAAAAAAAAACATTATAGGAACTAAGTATCAGGTATAAACAAAAGAATGATTGAAGGTGTACATCACTAGAGATATCTGTGAGGATTAAAATACAGAATTTTTTGCCAACAATGAATCAACAACAATTTCAAGAAAACTGCTATAGTAAATCTTCTGGCATGCCCACTAGAAGGTCAATTAATTAACTACATTCTCAACGCACTCAAAGTCTTCAAAAAACTCACCTCAAAATACAAACTACAGGCCGATAATACAGTCTTATGGACTTTTAGGTACTGTCCTTCAGCAGACAATGTGCAATCCACTAATGCACTGCTCTTGAAAAATCTCTGAAAAACTGTTACTAATGTTTTTCCATGTTCCCCCCAACGAAGAGAAAATTGCTGGTCATTGTCTACATTCCTATCAGACATCTGAAACAAGCAAAAAATCAGTATGTATTGGATTTCAATTCATATTAGCATTTATACTATTCTACTTTTGTATTTAATGAGAAAAAATTGCACTTAATTTTGCTGCCCAAAATCAGAAACACAAGCATCAGTTGTTATGCTGACAACTCACAAAGGATAATGTTTGGGAAAAGTTAAGTATATAACCACTCTTTATTTAAGTATAGTTATATTTTGCTGTGATTGTGGAACGACATACTCGACCTGATACCTTCTTTGTATATTTCCCAAGTGATACCTCCTTTCTCTGTCAGACAGTGAAAGGAGCATTGCAGAATTAGTGCTGACAGGCAGAAGAGCAGGCCTTACGGCTTGAGCTTCATCACAGAAAACAAGGCAACATTGAATTGAATAGAATTAATGTCTTATCTGACTATACCATAGGAATACGTTTGGGAGCTCATGTTCTTTCATTAAACACTTGTACTAGATAGAAGTGTTTCAATGTGTTTCTTTTTCCTATAAGCCCAAAGAAAAGTTCTCTTTGGTTCAGAAGCCTCAGAATAAAGACCAATGTGGTCATAGTAAGAATGAGAAGACTTTATGCCAATAAGGTAATCACAAGAAAAATATCTTATAATAGGTTGATTAAGTAAACCTACTGTAAAAATTTGTATTTTTGTGTCAGTTATTCAATAGTTTTCACTGCATTTGTTTACATTATTTTATAGTTAATAAGCAGGAAGGTGGGGAGTTGGGGATTCAGGACAACTGAACTCAAGCATCAGTCAAATCCCTCTAAATGAATTCTTAAATCGCTTAATCATTGCAGGTTACTATTCCCAAGTTCATATTTAACATGTATTCCTAAATCATACAATTAATTAATACATTTGTATTTAAAAATGTAAATATTCATAATAGTTTTCTATACAAGTGTTCCATTCTAATTGCAATGCAACAGAGCAGCATGCTATATATAGAGAGAGAAGTTTGTTCATCAAGTTTTTGTTTTCATTCTTGGTTGGTTTTTAACTTCTTTGATTTATTGTAGCACAATCATAAACTTTATCTGGTAATATGAAAACCATTAATCATTAAGACACAAAATTGGTTGTAACACAGTCAAAATTTTCTGTAATGTAATTTGTTTTCTTAATTTATAACCTGAATAACTGTCTCCTTATTAACTTTCTGGAAGGAGTGCTTATTATTAAAAGACTAACCTCCTAAAAACTGTAAAACTCATAATACTTTAATTTTATTGAAAAACAAAAATTCCATTTAAAAGAAAGTAAAAAAATGTGTACTGGTCTCCACAACAACTATCTCTTGATTCCAATTGTAATGTTGACAGTACAGATCAATCAGCTTTTTCTTACCTTTTTTTCTGCTGATTCAGAATTTGCTTCAGAAGTATTTGCTTCTGTTGATTCACCCTGAGTATTTCTGATGTCTTCTATTGAAGAAGATTGACGCACTGGTGGAATACCGTTTGGGGAGTGTGGAACTGTGAATTGGTCATCAGAGCCCTTACGATTGGCTTCTTCAATAAGGCCCTTAATTTGCAGAGATTCAGCAGCTTTGCAAAGATCATCGATCTGATCCTTTGAAACCACAACTTCACCACGATACATGAACTCAATCATTGCTTTAAGTTGATGAAATTTCACATCTTGAAGAACAACTATTGGATGCTTCTCCCCATGCTGATTCAGTACCACCTGTTGATTATCACACGATCATAATTATTTTACTGACGTAGTTTCGAAAATAAATTTTCATGAGCATTATAATGTCAGCACCATGCCAAAAGTGCAAAAAGTAACTTCTGAGAAAGACAAATAGAATGGTTTTTTATTATGATTGAAAAATGAGGTTTTTCAAGTAGGGATTTCCACGTAATATAATCATGTAAATACAACACTGCAAGTTATATTTACCTTTATACATGTTTTTTCTCAAATCCAACTGTTTGCACCTTTATGATTTTTGCATGATGCTTAAACTATATGATACAGAATAATGCAACTAGAGGGCAATCTACATTATTTGTCCTCAATGTTAACCTCAATATGAACAAAAGAAAACAACAAATATTCGCTTTCACACAACCTTTAAATATTTGTTAATAAAAACAGTAATATAAAAAAACTTGGTTTGTTTTTGAACAGACGTAATATATTTCGATGCAAATTCTATTTACTAGAGGAACTTTCATATTTTAAGAGAAAGGAAAATTTTGCCTTAGATTCCATGTTCTATTACAACACAACAAAAGGAAACCTGCATCAACAGAATAATTTTTAACGTTTTACAAGAAGCATAGAACAAAATTAGAATCTTTTGATTTCTTCGCTTACCTCAAAATACGGACTGCATGCTGAAAGCACAGCTTTGTGAGCTTTAATGTACTGCCCTTCTGCCGCAAGAGTGCAGTCAACAAGAGTACCACTTCCCAATAATCGCTCAAATACTGCTACTAATGTATTTCCATGTTCACCCCAATGCAGTAATGATTCTTCCTCAGATCTTGCTGTGCACACTGCCTGCAAAAATGAATAGTCTGAGTGAACAAAAGGAAAAATGTATATTATCAATGACTAATGATAATGCTCAAATTATGACTATAAAAGTTTTGCCTCAGACTTTGTAGATTCTCTGCCATAATAACAAAAATTAATTTAAAAAACATCTAATATTTTAACTAACATTGAGAACATCAATCAGGAAAATTAAACTTTACTTACTCTTTGATCTGGCACTGAAGATAAGAAACCTGGAGTTGACACCGGTTCTTGTGAATCTCCAAGCGTAGGAACCAAGAAATGTGCAAATGGTTTGACCTCCACTGGCTCATCCATGTCCGTGGTTGGAAGACATCCTGCTGAGAACTCATTGCCATCACCATCAGCCTTTATGTTCTTCGAAGATTCACTATCACTGTTGGTTGTTAGACCTCTTATTTTCAGAGATTCAGCAGCAGCAAGAAGAGATTCTATTTGATCTTTAGAAACAATAACTTCTCCCTTATACATGTAATCTACCATTGCTTTCATCTGCTCAAACTTCACATCTTTCAGAATCACAACTGGATGCTTCTCACTGTGCTCACTCAGCAGCAACTGCACAAAAGAAAAGTGTTTTGTAAATTCCAAACATAATATTTCTGTAAAACACTTTATACCGTTCACAAAACAGTTCATTTCCACTCTCATACCATAACATCTCAAAAGTCTGAAACTAAATGAACTTCTATTGAGATTCTTATAATTATTTTGGTACCTCTGTACATGAAAAAAAAAAAAGTATTTTCAATTTTTGTTGTTAATTTTTTTTATCCATTTGAGAAGAAAATATATTTTTAAACAGCAACTTGCAAATAGCAAATAAATCACTTTATTTTCAACTTTTCAGCCTTGCCATTCATCATACTTGTATGTTAATGGGGGGGGGTAGTCAAAAGTAACAATTAACTGCACAAAAAAATAGAATTTTCAAGTAAATAAAGAAAAAGATAACAATAAATTTTTACCCTTAACTTCAATATTACATTTCATAAAGAAATTTTAATATTAAATGTCCTTTTATAAACATGGACTTTTTTTTTTGTCAGAAACTATATTTAAAAGCTAAACAGCAATAAAGTGCATGTGCACTTAGCAAGCAGCTGTACCAAAACTATTTCAGTTTTCATTCTCAACATCAAAATACATTTCCTACACCATTTTTGCCTCTGATTTCAAAAGACAAAAAACTGATGTAATTAAGTTATCTCAGCATTTTTGCAACAATAGTTTTAATAATATAATTTGTAAAGTTTGCATTAGCAATGCAATATCTACTTACTTCAAAATAAGGACTGCATGCTGACATCACAGCCCTATGAGCTTCTAATGATTTTCCTTCAGCAGACAAAGTGCAATCCACAAGCATTCCATTTTTTAGTAGTTTTTCAAACACTGTTACTAATGTACTTTTGTATTCACCCCAACGGAGTGAAAATTGTTGATCAGGAACCATTTTTCTGAAAGTCAATCACAATTCGTCTCATTAACCGAAGTTAAAAAGGAGAGGGCTTTAAAACACAAAACAAGGAGTGCATCAATAGCATATTTCCTCGCATTTTTAGTAAGAGACTCACAAATTTGTACTACTAAGTAAACATTTAAATGTTTCCAACCAGCATACATTTTTTCTCCATTCCGAGTTTCGAAATCACGGAGTTCAAATCAACAAGCCATACTACTACGTTAATACTTGCATGGCTATAGTCAGCTTTCCTGAATAGTGGTTCTTCACATTATTTCTGCATTAAAGAATTTTCGAAAATTTGGAGAGTTCAACAAAAATGAGACATGCAACATATTTTTTAAGTATCCTTTACTTCCCCTGAGGAAAAAATATAAAGAAAATATTTTGAGCCACTTTTTGAGAAAATCAATTTATCAAGTACATTAATTTCAAGAAATTAAATTTCAAAAAATTGTGCATGACCGAGCTATTTTTTACTTTCTCTAACTTACTTCGTCAGAGAAGCAAATTATGTGTAATCGTGCACCGGAAAACTGCGACTTTTAGGCAGAAAAACTCTTATTGCCTATATACACTGAAGAACCAAAAAACTGGTACGACTGCCTAATATCGTGGGCCCCCGTGTATAGGGCCCCCACGAAGTGCCGTAATACGTGGCATGGGCTTGACTTAAAGTCTGAAGTAGTGCTGGAGGTTAACTGACGCCATTAATCCTGCACGGCTGTCCAAAATCACGTAAGAGTACGAGGGGTTGAGGTTCTCTTCTGAACAGCACGTTGCAAGGCATCCCAGATATGTTCAATAATGTTCACGTCTGGAGATTTTGGAAACCAGTGGAAGCTTTTAAATTAAGAAAAGTGTTATGAAGCTACTCTATAGCAATTCTGGACGTGTGGGCTATCGCATTGCCCTGATGGAATTGCCCAAGTCCGTCGGGATGCACAATGTACATGAATAGGTGCAGGTGATCAGACAGGATGCTTACGTACGTGTCACTAGTCAAGAGTCTAATCTAGACCTAAGGGTATCAGGGGTCCCACATTACTCCAAATGCACACGCCCCATACCAAGCCTTCAACTTGAATAGTCCCATGTTGACCCGCAAGGTCCATGGATTCATGAGGTTGTTGACATACTAGTACACGTCCATCCGCTCGAAACAATGTGAAATGAGACTCGTCAAACCAGGCAACGTGTTTCCAGTCATCAACAGTCCAATGTCGGTGTTGACGCCCCCAGGCAAGGCGTAAAGCTTTATGATGTGTAGTCATCAAGGGTACACGAGAGGGGTCTTCTGCTCCGAAACCCCATATCGATAATGTATCGTTGAATGGTTCACACGCTGACACTTGATGGCCCTGCATTGAAATCTGCAGTAATTTGCGGATCGTTTGCACTTTGTCACGTGTGATGGTCTCCTCAGTCTTCCGTTCCGTTCTTGCACGATCTTTTTGCGGCCGCAACGATGACGGAGGTTTGATGTTTTACCGGATTCCCGATATTCACAGTACACTCGTGAAATGGTCGTACGGGAAAATCAAAATTTCATCGCGACCTCGGAGATGCTATGCCCCATCTCTCTGGTGCCGACTAAAACACCACGGTTAAACTCACTTAAATCGTGATAATCTGCCATTGTAACAGCAGAAACCTATCTAATAACTGTGCCAGACTCTGGTTGTCTTATATAGTCGTTGCCAACCGGAGCTCCGTATTCTAACTGCTTCCAGATCTCTTCATTTCAATATGCATTGCTGTGCCAGTTTTTTGGCTTTTCAGTGTATAGTACTTCCTCAAACCTCATGTATTACTTCCTCAAACACGTGGTGTAGCCAGAATCAATGTTTTGTGGATCCTTGATCGATTGACAGCAAAACGTCCGTCTCTCTGCCGTCCGTCTGTTGCCAACGCTAGTGCGTTAACTGTTTGACAGATTTTCCCCAAAATTAATATTTCTCGATCGATCTGAACAAACTCGAGATTTACGGAGTTTCAAACATATTTTGGTTTTTGAGAATACTTCACAAGAAGCCTCAACATTTTCAAAATTTTCTCAAAAATGGGTCCAAATTTGTTGATTAAACTTTGTCCTCCGATAGCGTAAAGGACGCTTAAAAGAATGGTGCAGGTCTCGTGTTCGTTGAAATCCTTAATTTTTCGAAAATTACAAAACTGGAATTTTTTGAGCGTCTTCCTACAACTTCTGTATTGAAGACAGATTTTTTATTAATGAAAACTGTTCTATACAGAGAGATATTGAAATAAGGGCATGTCTAATTTTTCGAAAATATGAGTAGTTGTGGTGCAATTTTACGTTGTAATTTTAATTTTTTAAACATTTTCTTTTCTTAAAAACCGCTCCAAATTGTTTCTTCAAATTTTCCCCACGGATAGAAAAAGAGCCCCTTAAAATAATTACTGGCGTCTCTATTTGAAAATAATGATCTCGGGTATTTCCGTTTAACACACTGAATTTTCGAAAATTGTAAATTTATAACTAATGCAAGAAACTATGTGTTGTTGTAGCGCCAATGGCTTAAAATTGATTTTTTTTAATTTCTATACATTGTACATTTGAAAATTCAGAGAAAATTCGCCAGAATTGGGATCAGAACCGCCTTTTTTGCTACATCTTCATACAAGAAAAAAACAAACAATTTCGAGCAGATTTCGAGTTGTTTAAAAATTGTCAACATTTCACGCAAATTTATGCGAAAGATACCCATATTTTCGTGAAAATGAGCCAGAACTTTTAAGATCTGTCTTTGAACAAAATATTTCATTGAAGGGAAAATATATTGAATATTGTTGTAGGACAATTCAAAACAAATGTTGAACTTTTGCAACTTTCTAAAACTCAGAGTTCAACGAAAATGTGACCCGCAGTATTTAAAACGTTTTTACCTTATCCAATGACAAAGTTAAATTTTAAAAAATTGAGTAATTTTTCAGAAAATTTTAAGAATAACTTGAAACCTGTACCTGAAAAAAAATCTATTTCAAACTCTCAGGGACTCGAGTCCGTTTAGATTGATCGCGAGATATCAATTATGGAGAAAAGTGTCTAAAAGCAATAGCGCCTAAACTCCAGGCGCTAACGAACACGCGTTAAAGGAAGTAATTGACTTCATATAAGACATATAACAAGATTATCCCCTTTTTTCGTCACCAGAAAAAAGAGAAGAAACCACCAAAACCATAATATTTTCTTTTACTACATAAATGTAGTAGGGAGGGAAAGTAAAATGTATTATCACAAGTTTTAACATACATCCACAAACATTAAAAAATTCATGATACGAATGTTTTATAATAATAATAATAATAATAATAATAATAATAATAATAATAATAATAAGAAGAAGAAGAAGAAGAAGAAGAAGAAGAAGACGACATTACAATAATTCTTAATACAAGAGTCATTACCAATCTAACGTTTTTTTGCTACTTACTCCGATTGCCAGCAAGACAGAATTCAATGCTCAATTACAAGTCTCACTCCATGTCGGCGTCAGAAAACACGGAAGAAGTTCAAATACCAAAAATGGAACGAATTGCAACAAAAATAAAACAATTAACAAGCGCATTGCTACGTTATCCATTTGCGAAGTAAAACCTCAATTCAAACAGCGTTTGGTCTGAGAGTAGGTTTATCACATCCTTAAAACACAAAATTTAAACTAGTGTTGCAACAGGAATGCACAGAACTTTCCCGAATAGTTTTCTATTACCTCTTGGTCTCTTTGGTCTTTGGCGGAGAGAGAGAGGGAGACGGAAGGGAGGGAGACGGAGAGAGGAGGAGACGGAGAGAGGGAGTAGACGGAGAGAGGGAGGGAACGAGAGAGGAGGGAAGACGGAAGAGGAGGAACGGAGAGAGGGAGGAGAGGGAGAGGAGAGGAGAGGAAGGGGAGAGGAGGGAGAGGAGGAACGAGATTGGTGAGTTTTAGGCTTTTGTCGATATTGAAACGTTTAAATGGTTAAAAGGCAATATCATTAGTCGTGACAGTAATTCAGACGGAAAACCCTCGCTCAGAAATAATTTTATTTCGCTGATGGAGTACGCGCAGCAAAACACTCTTCTTCGGCAGGGAAATAGGACAATATGTTCGCCTTATATGTAAACAATCGAGGCCCCCTCCCGGGAACCGCTTCTACCCACCTCACGTAATTTAAGCCAACCATAATCACTAAGTTCTGACTGTAGCGAGGTGGTCAACCCGCTTCTCCCCCGATCGAAGGCGTGTCCAAATTTCGGACAGTTGGACAGATCGAAATTTTACCCGCCCAATTTTTTGGGGGAGGCATTACATAGTTAGAATATTAAATAATTGTTTTCACTAGCAAAAACGTGTGTGTGTGTGTTGTGTGTGTGTGTGTGCGCGCTGCCGCGGCGCTTTAAACGGCAAATATATATAAGGTGCTCAACGGCACACCAATTTTCACCCCTTGTAGTGTTTTACGTAAAACAATTTATATGCTATTTCTCTCAGAATTGACACATCTCAGTTTCATTTTTTGTAAACTTACGAATCGCATAGAATTTCATGCGAAAATTAAATATGTCAAGGCAAATATTCTGAAGGTGCAATTTTAATTGTAGTATAACATTTAAATCGTATTTTTCAAAGAGAAATGTAAATGGCTAATAATTTTGCGTTTGCTTGAAAGTAAATACATTAATTACTTTGAAATTTAGAATACATTGCTCGCAAAATGGACAAAAAAATATGGATTATTGAATAGGTATTGAATATTTCTAAAATATAGATTTGTAAACGAAACAATATTAAATATTAAGAAATATCTAACTTAGCCAGATCCACACCTGGAATCACTTTCTGAATACGACGTTCATGAAACGCGCCGGGAACGTCGAAGCGGGCGAACTATGTTGTAACGTCATATTACACAAAAAATACTTATAATTTTCGAAAAATTGGAAATGATCTTTCTTGAAAGATCGGTTTTGATGAGCACTTTTGCTTTAAGAAA